GTAATACAGAAAGTTGGTACCAGGAGTGGGGCTGTAATACAGAAAGTTGGTACCAGGAGTGGGGCTGTAATACAGAAAGTTGGTATCAGGAGTGGGACTGTAATACAGAAAGTTGGTACCAGGAGTTGGACTGTAATATAGAAAGTTGGTACCAGGAGTGGGACTGTAATATAGAAGTTGGTACCAGGAGTGGGACTGTAATATAGAAAGTTGGTACCAGGAGTGGGACTGTAATATAGAAGTTGGTACCAGGAGTGGGACTGTAATATAGAAAGTTGGTACCAGGAGTTGGACTGTAATATAGAAAGTTGGTACCAGGAGTGGGACTGTAATATAGAAAGTTGGTACCAGGAGTTGGACTGTAATATAGAAAGTTGGTACCAGGAGTGGGACTGTAATATAGAAGTTGGTACCAGGAGTGGGACTGTAATATAGAAAGTTGGTACCAGGAGTGGGGCTGTAATACAGAAAGTTGGTACCAGGAGTGGTGCTTTAATATAGAAACTTGGTACCAGGAGTGAGGCTGTAATATAGAAACTTGGTACCAGGAGTGGGACTGTAATATAGAAAGTTGGTACCAGGAGTGGGGCTGTTGCTGTGATAAACTTCACCATGTGGTTTTTAGGTGTTGGATCTAGAAAATTCCTAACGTGCTATGAGAAGAGCTTAATGGGTCACTCTGATGAGCAAGGGGAAGGTCAGAATGCTGAGAGAAACACAAACAATGTGTTTTGGAGGAGAATAAGGTCTTTTGGGAACTAGGCTGGAAGTCATTCAGGATGTATTCTGGAAAACAATCTGGCTGCATTCTTCCCACATCCTGAGAACCTCAGTGATGCTGAATGCAAAAGTAATGGACTGATTTGTGATTTGGTAGAGGAAATTTCAAGACAGGGTAGCATCCAGGATGCATCATGGTTACTACTACTTACTGCTCTTCTTTGGGTTTACAGCAAAAGACAGTAAAGAGTGAAGGAAAAAGATACAAAACATGTTCTGTTTGGCAGGAAAAGGAGAAAGTGTAAAGTTGTAGACATGGCAGGAGCTGAAAAAGCAACTACAATTGTGGAAGAGATTATCACCATTAAAGAAAAATCTACATCTCTATATACTGGGACAATATGAAAGGTGCCCTAAAAATAAGAATCCATATATCAGAGGCTCTGTCTTCTTCTGAAAACCCAAATTACTTTCAGAGGAGAGAGCCTAAGCTGAGAATGCCACTTGAGGGGGTCATGGAAGCTTGTGCCAAGGTTCCAGATGGCTGCTGAAGCCAGATAATGTGTGGTGGGGGTCATAGTTTCTGCAATGAGGCCCTGAGAATCCATTGTGGGAAGCTGTAAAGGCAAAGCCTATGTTGACATGGAGATCTCAGGATTTTGGAGATACTAGGACCACAAGAGATCTTCCAAGGAAAAATGCAGGCACAGACTGGAGCTGGCCCAGGAGAGGTGTTGCAGAGCTTGAGGTATAAGGCCTCCCATGCTGTTTAGCACCTAGATGATTCATTAAGAGTCCCAATAAGGGACATGGGGCTGCAGGATTTGATGTTTGCCCTGCTGTGTTTTGGTCTTGCTATGGTCCTCATTGTTGTGTCCTCATTGCCCTCTTCTGGGAATGTTTACTCTGTGCCATTGTGCGTTGGAAGTGTGTGACTTGTTTTGGTGTTATAAGGGCTCACAGTTAAGACATTTCCTGAGTCTCAGAAGATACTCTGTGCTTGTATTTTGATGTGTTAGAACTGTTGAAAATTTACGGGGATTTTTGAAGTTGGATTGGATGCATTTCTCACTATGAGATAGCCATGAGCCTATGTGGAAGATTATAGCTTTAGCACGGTATCTTTTGGTGTCAGGTTGACAAGGGGTGGACTTTTGATGGTTAATATTAATTGCCAATTGACGAGATCTAGGGCACATTGATGTCAATGAAGGAGTTCCTAGATTGGGTTAACTGAAGTGGGAAGATCCACCTTTAATCTTGGTGGCACCATTCAATGGGCTGTGGTCCTCGCCTGGGTCATAAATGAAAACTGAGCTGAATACCAGAGTTCATCATTTCTGCTTTCTTACTGAGAGTACAGTGTGATGGACTGCCTCATGCTCCTGCTGCCACAACTTCCCCTTTGTGTTAGTCAGGATTCTGTAGAACAGAACTTATAGAATGAATCTACATATATATGTATATATGATTATGTACACACACACGTAGGGGATTTATTAGAGTGGCTTACAGGCTGTGGTCCAGCTAGTCCAACAATGGCTTTCTACCAGCAGAAGGTCCAAGAATCTAGTAGTTGTTCAGTCCATGAGGTTGGATGTCTCAGCTGGTCTCCAGTATACTCCAGAACCCCAAAAAGCATATGCTCTAATACCAGTGAAGGAATGGACGTGCTGGCAAGAGTGAGAGCAAGCTTCCTTCTCTCCTGCCCTTTATATAGACTGACAGTGGAAGGTGTGGTCCAGATTAGAGGTGGATCCTCCCACCTCAAAAGATCTGGATTAAAGGTCTATCTTCCTACCTCAAAGATCTGGATGAGAAGTGGGTCTGCCCACTTCAAATGATTTTAAGTAAGGAAAAAATCCCTCACAGGTGTGCCCAGCCATTTGTGTTTTAGTTAATTCCAAATGAAATCAAGTTGATAACCAAGAACAGTATCACAAGTCCACCCCTTGCCAACCTGACACGCAATCATATCTCCTTATGACATGGTTAATTTCCAGATGAGAACATTAACTAGGTCATAATAATGCCTAGACATGATATAACTATCACACATACGGTGGCAAACAAATTATGTATTTAAATAGGTCATAATTATGCTTGACATGATATAACTGTCCCTCATACAACCGCAAATACATTATAAATTTGGAATAGGTGGTAATGTTCTTTGAGGGATATTCTTCTTTCGTTTGTTTTTGGTTTTGTTTTGTTTTGTTTTGATTTGTTTTGATTTTCGAGACAGGGTTTCTCTGTGTAACAGTCCTGGTTGTCCAGGAACTCACTTTGTGGACCAGGCTGGCCTCAAACTCACTGAGATCCTCGTGCCTCTGCCTCCTGAGTGCTGGGATTAAAGGCGTGTGTCACCAGCGCCTGGTGAGGGACATTCTTTTTGTACAAACTTAAATATGATAACCACTGATACTCTATTGATGTTACATTACATGATAGAGAAATCAAAGAAAGACAAATGTCTGTATAAACACATTCTTAACAAAATATGACAGAAACACTCAGTTATAATCCTGGCTGGTTTCTGCAGCTGGTCACCTGGCCTTAGCTGGTATTTATAACTACCTTCCTCTACTACCCATTCAGTATTTCCTCCACCCTTAGCAAGAACCTCAGCAGGTCTTGGCTCTTTCCCTGGAGCAGTGACCCATACCTTCATTCCTGACAAGGGTCTGTGCCCCTTGTCATCCTGCCTGGACTAGGCTGTTGTAGTTTCCCATCGACTTTAATCACAGGACACGGTAACACCAAGAGACATCCTAAAGGAGCTCCTGCACTCCAGACATAATCCTTCCTGCCACCATTGTGGAGAAACAATCCAGTTTCTGCTTGATAGTCTAGATCAGTCACCCCTCCTAACACTGTTCTTCCTTTCTTAGCCTGTTGGCTTAAGGGCATCAAAATCTCAAAGTGGCCAGGGGGAAATCTGAGTTTCCAGTTCAATGAAATGTTGTGTCTCCTGGCAGGAGCGCTCCCTCTTCTGGAACCAAAACTTCTAGGCCAGCAGAACTTAAGGTCACAGAAACAAGAAGCAAAAATTTCCTAGTGGGTCAGTAGAGGTGATAGTGAGCAGAACTCTTCCCTTTTCCACCCCTCGATGCCTGGACCTGTGGATCCAGGGATGGGAGAAACAGTACAATATACTGGATGCTGAGTCAAAGCATATACTGCCTTCTGGAGAGCCCTGTCCCAGCCCTCCAGGCTGCTGCCACATAATTGGCACTGTTACTGCCTGTAACTGTGTCTTCAAAAGGCCATTCCATTTTTCTATCAGACCAACGGCTTCAGGATGGTGGGAACATGGTAAGACCAGTGGAATCTATGATCGAGGGCCCACGGTTGCACCTCTCTGGCCATTACGTGAGTTTCTTGGTCAGAAGCAGTACTATGTGACTATCATGACCATGGATAAGGCATTCTGTGAGTCCACAGATGGTATTTGGCAGAAACATTACATGCAGGAAAGGCAAATCTGTAGTCAGACAGATTGGCGACTTTAAACTGTGATCGGGGTAAGTGTGTGTTGATTCTTCATCAAGCAGCACAGTGGTCAGGCCCAGCAGCCAGATGGGAACAGGATGCGGATCCATCTGAAATACAAACACATGTCCAGCTCTGTGCCCGGTGCTGCTGGCGGGCAGGGGTGGCTCTGTGGTGGGAAGGAACTAGACTGTGCTGTTCCCAAGCACTCCTCAGATTTCTCGTCAGTCTCTCTGGAGAAACTCGTTGTGTGCGATCACCATTCCCCCTTAGTGTGGGAGGTGAGCACAGGGACAGCCGCATTCCTCACTAAGTCAAAACACTGCTGAGCCAAGGCTGCAAGGCCAGTACCAGTGGCCAAGTGATGGCTCTTTTGCATTGAGTCTTAAAGATTGAGTAGGACTTCACCAGCCGCCAAAAGCCAAGATCGGAATAGGAGAGAAAGGGGGGAAAAAGTCTGAGCTATTAGGATAGTGGTGTGGAAAATAAGGAGTTACTGGCCCTGAATGAGGCTTATCCATAAGGAATAAATCCAGAGAAGTGGAGAATTTTGGATCCCAGTGACAGAGCAGAAACTAATGAAGGAAGAGGCTATATAACTCCTCACAAGTGCATAAACCCAGGCTGCTTCTGAGGTGCTCTGGCATATGCCCTGAAAATCCAAGGGGAAAGTGGATCCAACTTGTCTTGCCATTCTGGGCCCCAGGCCTTGGTCTCAGGGTAGCCTGGGTGTTGTTAAGAGCTGACCTCAGTCTCCACACTCACTGTGTGTTCTTGGCTTCCAGCTCGTTCCAAGAGCCTGGTGATGGGGGAACAGAACCGGAGCCCAGGGAGGCCCCCGGCCCCCCACAAGCTGGGCCCTGTACTCAAGGCCGGCTGGCTGAGGAAGCAGAGAAGCATCATGAAGAACTGGCAGCAGCGATGGTTCGTGCTACGTGGGGATCAGCTCCTCTACTACAAAGACAAAGATGAGAGCAAGCCCCAGGTAAGGCCTGAAGGTCCTGTGTCCCTTGGGTGTTGTGCTGGGACAGCACAGGGGTGGTAAAGTTCAGAGTGTGAGTGCAAGCAAGGCCAGCACCCAAGTGTGGGTCTTAACTCCGTGCGTGTTCCCATATCACAGCTTGTTTTTCTGAAACACACTCCCAACTTCTGAAATGTAACCATTTCCTTTTAATATTGGCAGAGTATATCCCCACCTAGCTTTAAAAAGCACTTCCCGTGTTCTGCTCAGCTCCTTAGTGCTTCCCACAAAGACATGTGCACGTGTTTCATTCTCATGATCCAGAAAAATGGGTTCCAGACAAATCTAGCCTTACACTGAAATCTGAATGCCTGTGAAGCTCTATGTCTGATGTCTCTACCTCAAATAGGGGGTCTCCCTTGCATTACGGGGGACCTCCCTATTCGGGTGCTCAAAATGCCTGGTCTTACACCCTGACCAGATTAAGTTTACTCACTCAGAGCAGCGAGTAGCTTCATCTGTCGGGCATGGAGTCATCACAGCTGAACCACATAGACACCAAAACAGTGCTCTGCAGAGAGCCTTCCAAGACAGCTGGGCCTGCAGGATTGTGGCAATCTAATCCTTGTAAGAGGTAAAGCCAGGACTCTACAACCATGTTCACTGCACCCATGCATTGAACCTCTATGGATCAATAATATTTCTATTTATATTCACACTGAACATGGGCAAATTGTCTTTTCTTGTATTAAGGGCTAGACAATACTATATAATAACTACTTACATTTAGATTGTACCAGGTATTATAAGCAACCTGGGGATGGTTTCAAGTTTATAGGAGGGTATAGAAAGGTTACATGTGAATAAATATATCGTTGTACACGGGGACTTGGACATTCATGGAGGGTTCTGGAACTATCCCTGCAGACAGTGTGAGATAGCCACTATATTTCTTGGGGAAAGAATACGGAAGAGATGATAAAGAGCATGTTCCAAGCCATACTCACTATCAATGCTCCAAGTTGGAAAGGACACTCAGACCACCTCATTCAAAGTCAGAAGTCACAGAGCCTTGGTAGACAGGAGAATGTGCATGTCTCAGTGGTTCCCACAGCATGGGAAAAACAAAATGTTCCATGCAATTAAGATGTGAACCTGGGTGCAGGAGGATGTCATGTTCAAAGTAAGAGAGTGACTCCTTCACACCTGTGCTAGGTCATCTGAGAATTTAGACATGTCGGTTTGGTTTGCTTGTATCCTTTCCATCTCCCCAACACTTGCTTTGATAGAAATGGGGCTGGGGGCAGGCTTCATCTCACAGCCTGCGGTGATGGAAGGAGCCAGCTACAAGTTAATGACTCGGTGGCTTCTCCTCGTGTGTGTTCCAATGGTTACCTCCATTCATGGAGGGTAATTCTGGTTTCTATTCTGTGGCAGTTATGTTACCTTTCCAAAATATGTTTGCGCTCAAAATGAAAAAGTGTTGCCTAGTAATGTGAATGAGCTTAATTCATTGAACTATATACTTTAACAATGGCTACTATGGTGAACTCTGTCATACAAATTTTATAATAAAGAGAAATATATAAAAAAATAGAACTGCTTTAGGAAGATGGTCACATAGGTAACAGCACAAATGGAAAGTGTGTAGGACAAAGCTCATGAGGGTGGACCAAACCACAGTTAACAGGAAGAAGGTGGTTCCAGTCCAGACTGGGAATTCCTGATCTCATTCAGTCCTTCAGTTTTATACAGAAGGAAAACGGTGTCCTGAGTTCAGTGAGGCAGATGGGAACTCTGCAGTCAAGTGGATCTGAAATGGATTTGGATTCCATCTAGCATGTTAATTACATGACTTGGGACAGTCACTTTCTTTTCATCAACTGAGGTTTTAGTTGCAAAATGGGACAGTATTACCTACATGACAGGGAGGATGCTGCAATTAAATTGCATAACAGCTCTGTAACCAAGGGACGGTCTTGGCTCACTGAATGCTTAAACCTGAACCAGTTTGTCCATAGGCTTACTTTCCCTGTCCCCCTTCCAGCCCCACTGATCCCTCTCCCCCAGAGCACTGTTTTTCTTTTGGCCTCGTTGACCCATCAATAGTGTCCATGATCTGCCATTCTGACATCAGTGACAAAAATGACCAGAATTTCACAGTCATGTTCTGGGATCCTGCTGTCACCCCCTGCTCTGCTCAGCCTGCAATGCTTCCTTCTGGGACATCATTGTGATGCTGAGTGATGCTATGTATTGACAACCCTGAGGTCCCTCACTAGTGAAGATCCCTCTTCTCCAAGTGTGCCCATATGTTCTTGCTGTAAGCCCTGTGGTAGACCGGGCATCCCTATCTCCCATCAGATGGCTCTAGAGCATGTCTATCCCAGAATTTCCCATTGCTACTACCTTTTCCAGACCTTGACAGTGTCTAGTGGGAGCAGCTAATTAATGGCGGTAATCACATCCCCCAGTCACTGGCCTGGATACATCACTAACCCTTATACCCACCCCAGGTCAGACCACATCCTTCATCTCCAGGGAGAATGGCCCATCTGTGAAAGGAACCGGCATACCCCAACAGACACCAGGCTCTGCTCAAAGCTCCTCTTGAGACTCTCTGGGTCTGTTGACACTTCCAGGGTACTGGGACCTAACCGCTGTTCCATAACCAACTCTGACTCCTGAAGCAGCCCTGCTGTACAGGCTCCTAATCTCAAGGTCACTATTAGTCCAACTTGACATTTAGCTTCTACAGTGTGATCTCAAACTACTGTCACAATCAGCCCACAGATCTCTACTTAATTTCATGAAGTACATGTAATAGACTAATTCTTAGTATCTGGTTCCTATAAAATATGCCCTGCTCACTGTTCATAGTGACAGCACGGCCAGGCAGTCAGTACCCTCTCGGCAGGGAGCCTGCACCAGCTGTTGTAATTGTCAGGACAGGGAACATCCAGCTGCCTGTGATGTTGCCCAGAGCTCAGAAGTCAGGATAAGCATCAGTCATAGCTCATGTCCTTGCTCCCTCTCAAAGCCTTTATCTCTTCTCCTCTGCCTGTCTCGGGCCAGGAGGGCCAACCGCAGACAGCACAGAGATGGGGCGGGTGACTTGCATGAGCTCAGACATAAAAGGCCAGGCAGAGGTGCCTTCCAGAGCCTGACATCTGCCTCATCCGTTCAGTCTCCCCCAAAACAGGCTCCAGAGGCTTTTCAGCAGGCAGATCCTGCGGTTTTTCCAGCGGAGGAGTCCAGGGGTTTATTGTTGTTCTTTTGGGGGTAGAGTTCCAACGTCCGCTCGAAATGTTTTCTTGTAGCACAAAGCTTCCTCTCAAGCTTTGGTGACCAGCTCTGTGCATTTCCACTACTTGGAGACTCACTGTAGTTGTCTCAGGCCTTTACCTGTGAGTTTCTTGGCACTGAGTAGAGATGGACCAGGATAGAAATGCAAGTATAGTCTCCGGAACATAAGACCGAAAAGCAGTAACACTAGAGAGACTAGATTTATCTGCCTCTTAAAAGACAGGAAGTTCGGGAAGATTGGGCCTAAAAATGAGAAGAAAAAATAAGCAAAGAGTGGAGGAAGTCTACACCAGTAACTTGGAACAAAAAGGAAGCAGACTGAGCAGGGTCCCCAAAAACAGGATCTGAGATGGGAACACACACTTCAAAATTCCTTCCTCCTTAGTAAAAAGTAGAATAAAATCCAACCTTCTAGGTAAGGGCATCAGATTTAGAAAATCAAATGTGGCTGTTTCAACTCCCTAACCCCCTAAAAAGTTACAAATATGGTCAGAGTGAAGAGGGGGGAGACAGCCTCTGTTGCTGGGCAGAGTGGCCAGAAGCAGCTGACGTGTTTGGCTGACCTGGCTCCAGGCAGGCCTGAGGGCTGCCCAAGAGCCCGTGGCTTGCAGAACAGACCTGTCCCAACAGGCTGGGACTGGCAGCTCTAGACACAGAGCAAGAGGAGCAGAGACCAAGAGCTAGCCTGAGAGTCAGCTTCAAACGCTGTCAGAGGATTGGGACAGCAGCTCAGTCAGCTACTGTGACGGGAGCATGAGGACCTGAGTTCAATCCCCAGCACCCACATAGAAAGCAGAGTGCAGTGGCACACCTCTGAAACCCCGGGTGGATACCAGGGCTTGCTAGGCAGCCAGGCTAGCAGAGTCAGCGAGCCAGCTCCAGGTTCAGTGAGAGACTGTCTCAAAAAACATGAGGTGAAAAGTGATAGAGGAGGAGACTTGGACCTCGGCTTCTGACCTGAGTGTACACTCCTACACCTGTACACAAGTACATACACGTATACACAAGCATGTCCACATGCATCTCTCTCTCTCTCTCTCTCTCTCTCTCTCTCTCTCTCTCTCTCTCTCTCTCTCTCTCTCTCTCACACACACACACACACACACACACACACACACACACACACACACACACACACACACTTAGTAGGGCTAAGATACCGTGATAAACCTGGTGTCTGCGCGTGGTCCCTCCAGAATGGCACTCGGTCATAAGATTCCGTGTTTAGTCCCTGGGAAAAGGTAGTGGACAGAGCATCACTCCTGACTAAAGACCCAGCTCTAAATGGGAGCACTAAGTTCCCACTCCCCAGGAGTCACTTCACACTTAGCTTCCAGGCCCCTCAGTTAGGAGCAGCCTCCTCCCTGGCCCAGAGAGGAAAGGGAAGAACTTTCAGGGGTTGCTAGGGCAGTGGCCCAGGTGGAAGACATCACACTTCCAGTCCTTAGCCTCTTAGCAGGAAAGGCCACCATGGCAAAAGAAACACAGAGAGAAACAGGAAGAAGAGGGAGGAGGGGGAGGAGGAGGCGGAGGAGGAGGGGGAGGGTTGGGAGAAGGAGGAGAAGGTGTCAGCAATAGAAACAAACAATGTCAGGCGGAAGAAGCCTCCCTCATATTTAAAATTTTTTACCAGGCCTGGTAGTATAGGCCTGAAATCCTAGCTACTCTGGAAGCTAAGGCCAGAGCATCGCAAGTTCAAGGCCAGCACAGGCAACTTA